CCCTTATGGGGCAATGGAGGTTTCCCATCCAGTACGTGGTAAACAGCACCTCCTTCATATTTTCCCACCATCATGATTTGTCTCACAGAGGCCACAGTCAATAAAGCCAAGAATAGTAGGCTGAACCTCTAAAATCACCAAAATAAATCCTTTCTCCTCTAAGTTGTTTAATGTCAGGTATTTTTGTCATAGTGATAGGAAAAGTATCACAAAATAGAACATCAACAGTGTGTCTGACTGCAGGATATAAGGCAAACCCAGGTTCCCAAGTGGTCCTCATGATGGTAGGTCCCTGAAGTCAATGTTGTACATGGGCCTGGCTCAGTAGATATGTTTGTTAAATTGTCCAGCTTTAAATTCCACTACTTCCACGTTAGAACAAATGGTAGGGGCAAGCCAAGTAGAAAAATACTGAGTAATTGCAGAGCTAGTAGTACAGGCTGTCTCTCAGGGAGGTAGCATCAGTTGGTCCTGAAGCTGCCACCTCCAAGACAGCCAAGCCCTTAGTGTCATGTGACAAGAGCCATGCCTGCAGGCTCACCTCTTGACTGTAACCTCTGGATGGCACTGGCTGACTTACACTCTTCCTGGGCATACGCCACAAGCCAGTGTCAGGTGAGACACTACGGTGTCTCATGTCAAGCCTACAACTGCCCAACCCATCTTCAGACACACAACCTCAGAAATTATGCTGTACAAGCCCCACACAGCCCAAACACACCAGGTAACACACACATAGCACAAGGGCTCAGCTCACAGGGGTTTGGTTGGGGCTTAAGCTTTTGTTGTTGCTTTAATAAAAATGTTTTGGTTGATTAGTGGGGGTACGGGGTGTTTGGGGTTTGTTTGTTTGTTTTTTGTTTTTGTTTTTGTTGTTGTTGTTGTTTTTTGCTAGTGAAATTGGCTCTTTTTTTTTTCTAGGAAATTATCAGGGTCCATATGTGAAAAGCCCAGAACTTCTACTCCTTGCGGGTAGGAAGTTAGGGATGGACACTCATCTTTCATGCTGAAGCTGGAGCAAGTATCACCAAGTTTATTCTATTTCCGAAATTCCCAAGGTGTGGTCACCCTACCATACTGGGGACCACAGGGACCCTGCTTCTATCACGGTGGGGCTGCCTGGTGCTCTGGGGCCTGAGGCAGGATTAAGTCTAGACATGAGACAATGAGGAATGCCAGGGACATCCATAACTGAGGGCTTAATGCACACAGCAAAGCAAGATCTCACACTGGCTTCATCTGGCCCTCACACAGATACACACCTGTGATAGCCCAGGCCTCCATATACTGCTAAAGAACAACAGGAAGAAGAGACACATGCTGGCCCTGCCATGGTTCCTGGAGAGGACTGGTCATCTTGAGTGTGTCACAGACAGAACAGAGCTTGGAGCCAGGACAGTAAGGTTGAGGATGAGCCTATGGGCTAAGAGCATCATGAAGCCCACATGCTGGAGACTAGTCCTTCTTGGACTAAAGCAGATGCTGAGTGCAGATGGCTGCTCAGGACCTGTCCCAGGTGTGTGCTTCAGCTCAGCTAACCCAAGTTCAATCACCATGGGGGAAGCTCTGCTGATTCAGGATCCTAAAATGTACCTCGGGGCATTGGAGATAGCAAAACAGCCAGTGTCCATGGCAGCCACAGGCTGACTCTTCTATTCACTAACATCTGCTTTCCTAAAGCATCTGCACTTCTCCTTTTGCTCTCATGCAAATGAGTCAACTGGATAGCAGGGAAAAACCAAGATGTGAGGTCCAAACAGCTCAGGGAACTAAAATGAGTCAGCTTAGCACCTAGGGAGCAGAACAGTGGGTCCCAGACCCTTCAGAGATTTCACACATTCTGCTTGACTTCCTTAAGGTTCATGTCTAAGAGGTGGCCACTGTTTTGTGTAATTTAAGTACATCTATTACACACGAGGAAACTGAGGCTCAGACCTACCTCAAGCCATCCAAGCAACCTTAAAAAACAAACAAACAAAAAAACCACTTCAAACTCAGTGGCTTCGATGATGGGAACTTACTTATGGCTCACAGTTCTAAAGGCTGGGCGCTCTGAGATAGAATCATTAACAATAAGTGCTCGGTGTGGATCTGCTTTCTGATCCCTGGTCGTGCCTTCCTTCAGTCTCTACTTGATGCTAGAGATAGAAAACTCTCTGCTGTCTCTTTCATAAGGGCACTATGCTCACGACTCACAAGGCCCCACCCAATAATACCTAATAACCTCGAAGAGGCTGCCCCAACCCAATGCCATCACATACAGGGTTACATTTCAAGACATGAATCTGGAGGCACAGGCATTCAGAACACAGCACATGGACTGGACCACCATCAACCCAAAGGTCACCATGAGATCAGAGGCCAGGACTCTTTCTCCATCTGCCCACTGAGCCTCATGGCCCAGCTTGAGGGACACAGTGTCCATTAACTCAGGGAGACAGCAGCCTCACCCACCAAACTGGGGTTTCTAAGCCTCCTCGCTCTGTCTCTCTCCTGTGATGCAATCCTCTTTATAGAGCATGTCCTTGTTACTGAAGGAGCAACCACAGGGCTGGACAAACACCTAAGACTGTGACATTAAAAGAAGAGAGTGATGATCATGGCAGTCAAGTCCATCACACCCCAACTAATAAATGTTTCAGGGCCATCCCCAGCTCTCACCCTCAGGGACACCAACGAGGAGGGTACATGGGATACATGTCACCCTATCAGTAAAAGACAGATAGGGTCTGACATGAGAACCAAGTCCAAACCCTAACCAAAGCTTCCCCATTTCCCAAAGCTCCATCCAGAGACGCTGCACAGTAATGCACACACAGTAATAAAAACCCATACCCTAAGTGAGACCTGTGTCACACAATAATCAAGGACCCAGAACCCACAGCAGCAATGTGAGAGAAACCACATTGATTCCTGAAAGAAAAGAAATACTCACCAATAAGCTCTGCCGGGCTACTGAGAATGCATGGCTCTCAGTTCCCCACACCATGGCTTTATATCTTTGGAATGAGAAGATGCTTTGTTATTGCTGGTGGCATTCTGTCATGCTATTCAAAGCCATATTAAAAAAAAAAGAATGTGGATACATTTTCCCCCTGGCAGAATCTGATAGGAGGAAAAGCCTATTTGTCTCTCAGCAAACTGCCAACTGCTAGGGTTAGCAATGCTGTATCAGTTATACTTAAGGCTTCTTGTCGATTCCTGGAGCCAAGGACTCCTAAGTAGTCAGAGATGGAAGGAGTGATGCAGGCTCGTTTCTGCAGCTCAGGTCAGAGGTGACTAGCTGGGAATAGAGTCAGGTGATAGAGTGGGTGACAAGACAAGCTTTCAGCCCTTTGATCACACCCACATCAGTGACCAGACATACGCTATGAGGACAAGGGCCACCACAAGAGATGCACCATCACTGTGAAAGGCACACTAAAGTCCCTGGGTGGGAATGGAACCTCTGCAAGTCAGAAATACTCCCAAAATGAACTGTTCCCCACTCAGCACAGCACTCCCAATCGGAGGCTCCACTGCAACCTGATTCCCTCGACTAAAAGTGGGCAGCTCATGGAAGGGAAGTTAAGGTAAACGGAGGTTAGAAATCCATACCAGCCAGGGGTGGGTGTAAAGAAGAAACAGTGGCCCCTGGTGGGAAACAGCCTTCTCGAGGGCAGAGCTGAGTGGGAAAGGAAGGCGGAGGTGCTCCATGTCACCACCCTATTAGACTCAGGAAATCTCCCAAGTGACCTTTAGAAAGACAGGCAGAGGATGAAGAGGATAGAGGGCTGCTGGTTTTAAACTGGGTAAGGCATTGAGCAGCACTGCGCAATCCTATCTGCTTTCTGCATGTTCTAGAGCTGTACAGAAAAGCACTCAAAAGAATAAGTCACTTATTTCTGAGGAAAACAAAAAAAAACAAGGGCGAAGACTGTTCATTTTCCATCTGTGCAGGTGCTTGTGTGTATGTGACTATATGTGCCTGTGTGTGCTCAGGGTACATGGAAGACTTCGAGTACACACGCATGTACATATGTACAAAAGGAGAATATGCATGTGGGGTATGTACATATATGTATATGTGTAAGTGTGTTTTTGTGTGGAGGAAATCTTCCCTCCCTTCCTAGTCCTCATATGGAAAACATGCATATGAATCCATGGAGATTAATGGTATCCTTAAGAGTTCCAACACAACCTCCAGTTCAGAGACTGAAGACTGGAAATCTGAGAACAGTCTGACCTATGAGCTCTACAACATCAGCAGAACCCCATCTTCATCCTACAGCCAGAGCGACAGCTCACCAAGGCCCCTGATGGTTTGACAGAAAGGTTTTGAAAGACTGTAGTTACACTGAAGACCAATTTCAAAGCTGAAGACCAAAACCGAGAGCTGTGGACACAGAGAAGGGAAAGAACTGTAAGCTATATCCTTGCCACCTGCATTTCTAGAGGCCCTCACTTTCCTGCTCATCACAGGCAAGGAATCCAGTCTACAGCAACCAGAGGACCACGTGGCCCTTGCAGCACTCTGGGGACACACACACTAGGCCTACTGATCCCTTCTCTAGGTTGCCCAGGTTTTCCCAAGTAGCCATCAAAGTGAGCCAGCACGTTCCTCTAGGCTGAACATGTGTCCTGACTCTCTGCTTCTATGCTTCTGCCCCAAGAATGGAAGCCAACACACGGAGAAAGTAGGGATCACTCATCACTGGGAAGGAGCTGGTGGCGCGGCCAGGAGAGGATGACTGAGGTCTTATCTGAAATCAAAATCTTCAGAATTATTTTCCTTAACTAAAACATATATTTCAAAGCCCTTTTGGTTTGTTCTTGAGATGAAAGTTCATGCCGTGCGCTCAGTAGTGTCGACAGGCCTCTGTTCCCGGGTTCCATTCCGAGACTGTGGTCCAGGGGCCCCCTCCCCCGCTGCATATCAGTCAGTAAAGGCCAGCTCAAAGAAGTCCCCCACCAGAAGCCAACTCAAAGAAGTCCCACCGGAAAAGCCACAGAATGCTTACCTGGGCTTCACATTTCTTGTGGCAGGAATACTTGCAGGCTGAAAGAAAGAGAAAGAATGTCTGTTACGCAAGCAATCTCAGGTGACACTTGCCAGGACTCCCTCCTCAAGAAAGTCTAGTAGCAAAAGCTAAGGGAGGAAGCCAGCTCTCTCCCTGAAAAAAGGTGGTTGTGCACTGAGAATGCAGAATGAGACAAAAGTGACATCTAAGAAATGAGTTACAGCTGTGTGGCTGACCATGTTCTCAATATGTAACAGGACTTGCATTCAATACCCAGAACAGGTAAAAAATAGTAATAATAGTAAGTAACAAAAGCTCACACAGCCCAGGTAGAAATTTATCAGGAAGCGGGGTCTCGTAAGTAAACTGGTATTTTTAAAAGGCTCATCAAGCCAGGCTGGAGACCTAAAGGAAAAAGGCAGGACCTGGGGAGCAAAAGTTCTTCACACATGCCTACCAGTTATAACCGATCCCTGGGGAAAGAAGGGAAGGAGGAAAAGAAGGAACAAAGCCTCTGGCATTTGTCAGAGCCCTCCTAGAAAGTCACGAGTTCATTTGGTCTCTGCAGGTTTCCACTTCCGGGAGACCTAAGCAGGCACTGTCAGAATAAATTCATGTCTAAATTCCTACAGAAGAGTCCTTCAACAGGGGCCATTATGTGAGCAGAGCGGGTCCTGTGTCATCGGAGGCCCCGACAATGCAGTCGGGGTGCTGGAACCAATGCAGATTTCACAGGCCCTCCCCTCTGGCCCAGAGGCAGTCCGAAGCTGGGCCTCAGGAATAAAAGGCCAGTAGCAGCAGCATGGTGCAGTACAATGACAAGGCCGTATGTGGGAGAGAGGGCAGGATGAGGACAGTGGGAAAATGAAGCAACTGCACACATCAGCCTACCACAACCACCCCTGGAAGCATCGCAGAGGCCTCAATGCCTTCCCCATGGCACCTCCCTGAGACTTCCTGTCTGGGCTCTGTCCCTCCAGCAGGGCTGCCCCAGGAAAATCATAGGACCTCTTTGGACCTCTGTTCCCCCTCAGAACTATCAATGTCAAATGGAATCCTTCATTGGCCCTTGCTTTCAAAGTACAAAGTAATGCCCCAAGCAGAAGAGTCCAGAGTCCAGACAACAAAGCCTCAGAGGTCAGAGAGACCAAGGACCAATTCTCAGCTTGGTGCTGTGAGCCCAGGAGCTCAGGGATGTTTCCACTCTGCCATCTAGACAATACTTAGATTGTCACAAAGGTTCACAAACTGTTAAGTAAGCTGAGACAGATACATTTGCCCAGGACCTAAAATTTTGTGAACCCCAGGAGTTAACAACTTATTCAGGTTTTATCTGTGTGTATGATCCAGTTTTTCAATTGTCTGTCCAAGCTTTTGAGAACTGTTAGAATAGCTACCACAAATATTTATTTTCCAATCTTCTAAAATCAGCACAACACATAATGGTGACCAGGTTATTTTGAAATAAAGATTTTTACTGGATAACAACAGGGCTTCCAGGAGAGCTTAAAAACCCAGGCCAGCCCAGGCAGAGGACTGTTCAAACAGCAGAAGGTAGGGGTAGCACACCCCAGAAGCAGCAGATTGGTCCAGCCTTTGCGATGTCCTTAATAATTCCAGCACCTTATACAATGAATCGCTGCAGTCCGCATGTTAGTGCAACACGCCAGAGAGGTTGCTGTGTGGCTTCTGAAGGCAAAGAATATGACGACTTCTGCCACTTTTCAGGACCACTTCAGCAACCCTGCAGAGCTACCAATTTGGAAAGAACTAGAAGCTACCATCCAACATCCAGCATTTGGCCAGCTCGGCCTGCCAACTCCACGACTGTGATGTCTCAGAGACAGCAGACTCTAACCTCGGTCAGGCCTCCAAATGACAGCCTCTGAAGAGAAGCTGAGTGGGATCTGCCTGGCCCCCTAAACCTTACATTCCCAAGATGTGGTGAGAAAGGGCAGGTGCCAACAGTTATACCAAGGTACTAACAGCATGTTCATGGCACAGTGAAATCCAGCCATCTCTGTCCCTACTTCAGTTTCTGCTATCACGTGCTTGCTGCCTTATGACCATAACAGAAAATGAACAAATGTCCTAACATCTACAGGGAAAGCTAGTCTCCTCAGCATCAAACCAAGGTCCACAGTGGACCCACACTAGCTCCCCACACACCCCTGCCCACCTCAGCCTGTTTCCAGTGTCCATTCTGACTCTCCTATGCTTGCCTCTGAAGCCCACCTATCTGCTTCGGTGCCTCTGACCCCAAAGCTTGTCATGTCAGGATCATCCTAACAGCCTATTCCTCGGGAAAAGCTGCAGGATGAAGGATAGATGGTCTTTTCTGTGTACCATCATTTCCTGACAAGGGCAACACTAGTGGAGCCCACAGTAGGCAATTCACTCCAGTCTGAACTGCACAGGCATTCTTAAAACCTTACCACATCCCACCAAGAAGCCACTCATCCTTGCTCCTTTGGCTGAGGGAAGGTCAGAGTCTGTGGATGGAACCTGAGGATTCAGTCACACATCAACCATGACCAGGTATGCTGGTAGAAGATGACCTGCTGCAGGTACTCTGGCAGAAGCCCGAGGCCAGCAGGATGACACACAGCAAGCGCCTTGCACTTGACAGCCTTTGGGTCCCAAGTTAGGAAGGCACCAGCAAGTGGGAAGCCCCCCAAATCACAAGAGCTCCTCACCAACAGGCACACAGCCCCAAAGGCAAAAATATCCCCATAGGTTTTGTCCCTTAGCCAATCCCACCCACCTGGCCAGAAACTATCATACTTTGATTTATACACTGGGCTTTAAAACAAAAAAAAAAAAAGTTATTCTATTTGTTCTCTGACATTTTCACATACGTATTTAATGCACTCCAATTACTCTCTAGACTTTCATAAATGCTTACCAGCTGCCTATTAAGCAAATGGTCCTGAACTACTAAGAGTAAATAGATGGAGTTGAAGAGACAGCACAGCGGTTAAAGAGCGCTGGTGCTCTTCCAGAGGACCCGTGTTCAATTCCAAGCACCCACATGGTGATTCATTCCAGTTCCAGAAGTTCTGACTCTATCTTCTGACCTCCATGGGCAGGAGGTCACATGTAAGGTGCACAGATATGCACGCAGACAAAACACTGATACATATAAAATAAAAGTAACCAAGTCTTAAATTGATTGATCAATTAGTTTAAAATGTTAGGAAGACAGGGAGGAGAGGGAGAGACTTCACTCTGTGCTTGGGACAGAATCTCACTCTGTAGCTTAGGCTAACTTTAAGCTTATGGCAAACCCCCTGCCTTAGCCTCTCAAATGCTGAGATTACAGGTTAAAGCCACCAACTCTTGCTTCATTTGCCAAATGAAAATGATCAGCTCATAAATCCATGATTTCTAGGCCAACAAGTGGTGTTCCCTTGGGCTGTGATTCCCACACCTTTACTGGCGGGCTAATATCCATAGAGTATAAAGCCATGTTGTATAAATATGTACACTGCCATTTCCCCAGGACTTCATCACAGTCACTTATAGACAAGAATCTTGTTCATCCTCAAGGCAAGCACAGGCTGTGTGCCCCTTCTCCACAGTGCCTGGAAACAGGAAGTTTCAGATTTGAGAACATTTTCATAGACTTTGCTGGCCTATTATTTTACTCCATAAGTCCAAAGTTTGAAATGCTCCAAAATCTGAAATAGTTTGTGCATCCAAGTTTTAGATCTTGACACATTTTGGCTTGTAACATCTCCGATCAACCTGTATGCTTTTCTTATCCAAAGATAAAAAGTAAAACATAAATTTAAAAATTGAAAGAAAAAAAAAAGAAAACAGTGCCATTACTCATCCACTTCTGCCTCCTCAGCATCCTAATCAACTTCTTCCTCCTGAAATTGCCCTGTATCCTCCAAGACTCATAGCTCTGAGACTCAGAGTCCCCCGCACTCTGGACTCAGCTTCCTCATGTGATAGACGGCCAGAAAGAGGACATGGTACCATCTGCCAGTGCTACCACCAGCTGCTCAGAGTCTCAGCAGTTACCATTTAACAGAACAGCTTCCTTCCTCCTAGCCCACAACCTTCCCCTTAACACTGGGCTCATGGGACTAAGGGGTGTTCTTTCAGCCCCCACCATCCTCACTCTCCACAAAGTCCCAACAGGACCTTGTACTCATGGTTCCCTGAGCTCTCCTTGAGTGTCTTCTCTGTCCACAGACAGAACATTTCCCAGCTGGCTCAGGCCTCTCTGATACTCCCACACCCCTGCAGTATTCTCCAGAAAGAGGGCATGCTCTGAGAGCCTTCACACACCTGTCCTGGGAAGCTGTAGAAGCTCTTAACCCTGTGTTGACCAGTGTCTGCTGCCTGTCAATCCTCACTTCCCGACAGAAGGATTCCTCCTTGCCGACAGACTCATATTTAGTGTAACTTCCCCCTCACTCCATCCTTGTGTGAGTCAAAAAAAGGTTACAGAGAATTAGATCCTGCCTGGCCTAGACCAGTGGTTGTCAGAGGGGTTCTATAGACCTCTAAGACTTTATAATGGGTTGATGAGGCCAAAATATTTTTCCCACATCTCTTCCCCTTTCTCTTGTGTTAACACAGTGGGGAAATTGTTGGTGCCTCTGCAGGCATTCAGGAAACGAGACCAATTATACTCGCTACCACTTGATTCTGCACCAGCAGACACTAGAGCGAAAAAGGCAGCTTCATTCAAGAATGACCCAATGAGGTCTGGAGAGATGGCTCTGCAGTTAAGAAAGCTGACTGTTCTATTAGAGGTCCTGAGTTCAATCCCCAGCACCCACATGGCAGCTCTCAACCATCTTTAACTGCAGTCCCATGGGATCTGATACCCTTTCTTGGTATGCAGGCATACCTGCAGACAAGACAGCCTTATACATAAAATATACACATAAATATATCTTTTTACAAAAGAATATCCTAATGAAAAATGTCAGGAGATACCTCTTCACTATTCAGTGAGAGGCAAGGGGAAGTCTGAAATGAGCGTCTTGGGATCATCTGGAAATGGGACAACTTAGAATGG